TGTCTTTTCCGGTTCCCCTGGTTGCCTTTTTCAGTCCCCTTTGGCTGCTATTCCGGTTCCCTTGGCTACTGTTCTGGTTCCCCTGATTCCTCCCCCTTTGGCTGCTGTTCCGGATTCCCTGGCTGCTGTCCCGGTTCCCCTAGCTACCTTTTTTCGGGTTTTTAGGTGGCTGTTTGGGTGCTGTTCCTGGACAGCCCCTTGGCCTTCTATTTTCCCTTTTTAATTGAGTAAATTGAAGATGTTTTGGGTTGTTTGGCTGCCACTTTTCTCCTATAAATATTAGATGTTTTTGTAATAGAAAAATGTGTGTTATATACTAATTTTTGGATCAAAACCTGTGGGGTTTTTTTTGGATAGCTTGCAAGCTACGCCTTTTATCTTCATCTTCTTCTAGGAAATCTTGCTAGCTTCTCCTCTCTTCGTCTTGGCTTCTTACCTCTTGCTTCTCTCTGCAAGTTCGACGCCACCTATATCTTTCTTCTCAAGAGAATGCAGTTTTAGGTTTTATGTTTGTCATGAGAGTTATAAGGTGTTTTTATTTTATAAGTTTGTAAGGATCGTCTTATCATATAAAAGTTTTATTTTGTTTAAATGTCGTATTTTGTCTATTTTTGAGTATTTTGTGTATTTTCTTATAACCTAGGAAATCTTGTAATATGTTTGCAAAAGTTGAGGTCTCCCTATATTTTTGCTTGCATCAGAAACCCAAGTTTATTTTTAGCTTCTTATTTTTAATAGATGATTCTCCCACCATCTTTATAATATAATTATTTCTTAGTCAATCATTCTTAATTTTGCCACTTTCATGTCAGCTCGATATTTTTCTCATGGTCAATTTGACTTTTAGCGAATTCTCCGCATTCCAGCAATTGGATCCATAAAACATAGATATCCTAATTTTATTTTTACAAGCTGTCTTTAATAGTCTCTATAACATTTTCTTATCCATTAATTCTCCTGTAATACGTCCATTTTAAGCATTCAATTTTAACGTTAAAACATTTATCTTTATCTATGTCCCTATTCTTCTATATATATTTAAATCCACCCCACTTATATATCAATTTATCTTTTAGTAATATTGGTCTATAATTATTAGCATTGAACCCATTCAAATTGCATATTAGATATTTTATCTTTATTTTATTAATCCTTAGTCCTTTTTACTCTTTAATTATAAGTTTTTGTTTCAACGTTTATTTCACCAATTAAAACTATGCTATATGGGAAAATTGCTATTAATGGGGAAAAAATTCCACTGGGGTACACTTTAATATATTTTTATAAGCTCAAGAATTTGTGCAATTTGAGCTTCAGACAGAAGATAAAAAAATTTAGGAAAGTTGATTACATAAAATTTTAACAAATTGAATCTACTTTATGACCCAAATATTTGTTAAGAAACAGTTGAATCACCCTGTCAAAAATTTCATCACGGCTAGACCTATTCTAGAAGAAGAATGTACCAAATTTCATTAGAAAATAAAGTAACTGTCAATTATTTGGCCCGACCCGAAAACCCGACCGAAACCCGACACCGGAATTTTCGGGTTTGGTTGACCTGAACCCGAAAGCGGGTCGGGTTCGGGTCCGGGAAAACCGACCCGTTTGCAAAAAACGGGGTCGGGTCGGGTTGACCCGACGTGGGCCGGGTCAACCCAAAAACCCGTTTTAATTTTAAAAAATTTTTGATTCCCGTGCCCTTCCCGTGCCCCAACCACCAAGCTGCCCCGCTTGCCCCAGGCCAACCCTGCCCGCTGCCCGCGTCCGCGCCCAGCATCCGCTGCGGCGCTGCCCTCGAGCCCGCCTTGCCCGAACTGCCTCGAGCCGCCTGCCCCGCCTGCACCGAGGCCAGCCCTGCCCGACGGTCGCGGGTCGCGTCCCCAAGCGAAGGTCCGTTTCACGCCCGTCACCGTGTGCGCGCATTTCACGCCGTGTCCGCGCGTCGCCAGGTGAGGAGGTCAAACTCAGGGGCCAGCAAAAAGTCCAGCGCGGTGGCGAGGCTTCCTTGCAGCCGCCGTCGGTTCGCTTCCAAGTCCGCGGGTCGTGGTCGGGTGACCGAAACCAAGGCGGTCGGGTTCGGGTCGGATAATCGGAACCCGTTTTACAAAAACGGGTCGGGTTGACCCGAACCTGAATATTACTGGGTCAAACCGGGTTTGACCCGAACCCGACCCGTGACCCGAAATTGACAGGTCTAGAAAATAGCAAGGGCGGACTTCAAAATAATTTTAAGGTCTAAAATTTCACTAAAAATTTACCCATAAGAGCCCTTCCAAATGGCCTTCACCAATGCATTCAATGGATTGACTATTCTTTTTGCACCACCCAAAGTGGATCATTATTCTTCACCACATCATTCATCAAAGTTGATTGCTTTTGCCAATACCACCACTCTCAGACTTCATTTGGTTAAAGCCATATCGTTACTAGGACTATTTGGTCAATTTTGTAACTAAAACGTTTGGCCTTTCGATGACTTAGTTAGGAAATTAGATGTGATAGATCTGGAGAAAGATAGAGGTAGACCTAAAAAGTCTTGGTTAGAAAGTATTATAAATGACATTTTTTATTAATGAGATTAGACTCTTATTAGGACACAATGGAAAAGAAAGATTTATGTAGCCAACTCCACGTAGTGGGATAAAGGCAATTTGAAGTTTGATTTGACTTATTTGATTAATCCGCTACTTGATGATCCTGGATTGATGCGATTAACTTCCATTCAAATACTAAAAGGCCAAACAAATAGCATGAATTGGG